TGTGTTTGAAGCAGAAGAAAAAGGTTTCAACCATCTCAATCTGAAGCGCTGTGACTTCTCTAGGTGTGTTTCCAGCTGCTGTGAACTTGGTTTTGTTTGCAAAGCAGATCGGCAGAAACGCATGCACCCCAGAGTCTGCATTTACAGCAACCACTCATGTCAAGCCTGTTTGAACCTGCCATGACCAAGGTCCAGCTCAGCCTGGGGCAACGGGATAAAGGTGAAAGCCACCTCTAGTTTTTATTGAGTCCATTTTAAACATATATGCATATTCATTAATTTTCTTCAGAGGGTGTCTGTGTGTGTGTGTGTGTGTGTGTGTGTGTGTACATGTGACTATGTACCCGACATAAGGGACTTTGTAAGGGACTTACAAGCATGAACTAATTGAATCCTCATAACAATCCTAGGATGCAGATACTATTATTATGATCCCCATTTTACAGATAAGGAAACTGAGGCCAAAAGAGTGCTGAGCGATGACTGGGATGCATAGTCCTGCGGCTCCCTCTGCTGTGTGTGCGCACATGTGCCTCACATGCGTGCCTTAGCCTGCACACAAGCGTGGGGGCATGAAGTCCATGCTACCTCTGACAATGGCATGCTTTTACTCAGCCAACAGTGGAATGCAGAAGGACAGGAGAGTGGCAGGCTCAGGGACTGGCTTGGGGACACCAACCCTCTGACCTAGACATGCTCTGCCCATGTCCCCCCTGCCTACTCACAGGCTCAGATGCAGGAGTCCGAGGCTGGCAAGGAGGGCTGGCTGCAGCAAAGGTGATGGGCTCTCTCTCCCGCTCTCCCATTCCAGCCCACCAGCAGGACGAATCTGTTCCTGCAGGCTGTAGGGACCAGGGCCTGGAGAGGAAGCAGACATGAAGACAGCCATCTCCTTAGAGAAGAAGGCCACCATGCCCCCTCACTACTGTTCTTCATGTCTAGAGACAGTGAGATGGAGAGAGAACAAGGGATTCAGGACCCAGGAGAGAACAGAATAAAGAGGAATACAGAAATACAGGCTGGGTGCAGTGACTCGCAACTGTAATTCCAGCACTATGGGAGGCTAAGATGGGTGAATCACTTGACATCAGAAGTTCGAGACCAGCCTGGCCAACATGGTGAAACCCTGTCTCTTAAAGAAAAAAAAATTAGCCGGGCATGATGATGGGTGCCTGTAGTCTCAGCTACTTGGGAGGCTGATTAAGGAGAATTGCTTGAACCCGGGAGACGGAGGTTGCAGTGAGTCAAGATTGCACCACCACACTCCAGCTCAGGCCACAGAGCGAGACTCTGTATCCAAAAAAAAAAAAAAAAAAGGAAAAAGAAAAAAAAGAAAAATATAGAGGAGGTGGCAGTGCAAGGAACGAGTCCTCGGCCATGGGGATTTAGAGCTGTGGGGAGTCCGAGTGAAAAAGGCCTGGAGCCAGAGATTCCTCCCACCATCCATACGGACCTGTGTTGGGCGGGGCGGGGCTGGAGCAAGCGTGTGTATTGTATCCAGGTTCTCCTGGCTGCTGTTCTGCTGTCTCTAGGTCTGACGACAGGCGCCTGGCATCATGGTGCCCTCCTCCTGCATGGGCCAGTTGGCTCTACCCTCCTGGTGCCAGTGTCAGGTTCCACGCTGTTCCCTGGGGGAACTTTGATCTGGAAAGAATGAGAGTAACCTATCTGGCTTTTGCCCAGGGCTGAGCCGTGTCACTGAGACCTGGCCTGAACTTCCCCTGCCACCTTCCCACCCACTGGGACGCCAAGTGGTTACCTGGGCTCAGGAGAGACAAGGTAGGGGTCTTTCCTGCTTTCCTTCCCTTCCTTCTCTTTATCATCCATCGTTATTATTTTTTTGAGATGGAGTTTCACTCTTGTCACCCAGGCTGGAGTGTAATGGTGAGATCTCAGCTCACCACAACCTCCACCTCCCAGCTTCCAGCAATTCTCCTGCCTCAGCCTCTCGAGTAGCTGGGATTACAGGCATGTGCCACCACAGCTGGCTAATTTTATATTTTTAGTACAGGGTTTAGGCTGGTCTCGAACTCCTGACCTCAGGGGATCTGCCTGCCTCAGCTTCCCAAAGTGCTGAAATTACAGGTGTGAGCTGCTGTGCCCGACCCATCACCCATTGTTTATTCATTAGTTCACTCATTCCACAAGCATTGGCTGATGGAGTGGGGATGAGTGATGGGGGCATAGGGACAAGGAGACAGGGTCCTGCCCTTTAGGGAGCCCCTTGCCTGGTTGGGGGGAAGGCAGGTGGTCACACCTCAGAGACCACTGGTTGAGAAACACAGCCCTGCTTTGGAGGAGGAAGATGGAGTGTGATGAGGTTTGTGTTCTAGTGGACACCACGTGGGGTTAGTGGAGGTAACGAGCAAGGACAGGCTTTATCAGGGGAGGCTTCCCGGAGGAGGGGGCAGTTAAGCTGGACCCTGATCTGGAGAATGAGGAGTAATGCGTCTGTTTGAGAAGTAGGAACCCAGGTGCAATCACAGAAGTGCAAGAGTTTTGTGTTTGCAGTTTGTGGTGGCAGCAGCTGAGAAACGGAGGTGAGATCGGCTGGGGGACTGGTTAGGAGGGGCCTTGAATGGCCCCCTCAGGCACTCCCCTGTTGGTGAGGGGACCCATGAGTCAGGGATAGGGGTCCTAGCTGGGACAGGATGTCAAAGCAAGATGTAGCTGGGGGTTGGGGGAAGTGGCAACTTGATGGCACTCCAGGCCTTGCCAAGGAGGGGCTGGAGCCTCTGAGACCTCCCCTGCCATCCCTAGCCCAGTCCCAGTTAGTCTAAAAAATGCTTTTGAGGAAGCCCAGCTGGTCTATGGGCTGTGGTGACTCCAGTGAGTGGGCTCTGGCCCAGGGCTCAGCCCAGCCCCCTGCCTTGACCTGGCCTCCCCACCCCCACTGCCCACTCTGATTGATGCAGCCTTTTGCTGGGCTGAAAGTGGACACTGCCTGGCCAGTGAGGCCCCTGGGGAAGGCCCAGGGAGCAGAGCCCTGGAGCTCGGGCTTCTCTTGTCCTGAAGGCTGCTGAGCCAGTGCCTATAAGTAACCCCTCCCCTGGCCCCTTCTCTGGGAAGGGGGAGGGAAGGCAGGCCCAGCAGGCTGGAGGCACCAGATCTATTGGGAAGCTGTGGAGGGGTGAGGGAGGAAGGGGAAAGGGCCCATGGTTGGAGGCCCAGTTCTGTCCCCAGCAATGGCTGCTTGCCCCTGGAGTCTCGGGGTCCTCTGGGCTGGAGCAGCTGAGCTCCATCGACAGGGAAAGAGGCATTGTTGTTGTAGAGGAGAGGCCAGTCCTCCTTCCTCCCAGCTCTAGGTGGATTTCCTGAGGTCCAGGAGTCCGGATATGCTCTGAGGGCCCCCCAGGCTGGGCCTGGCCTGCCCCAGAAACCCCTTCCTTGGTTCCCAATTGCCCAGGACAAGCTGTCTCTGCTGGCCTGAGGCCTTAAACATGTGCCTGTTCTTCTTGGACTCAGTCTCCCCTCCTGGCTCTGCAGTTTTCAGGGTGGGGGTGGGGAGCTGGTGAGTCAGTGGAGAGCCCTCTTCAGGCCATGTGTTCAGATGTTAGGGGCTGGGACCCAAGGGGGAGGGCCCTGGAAATGGAAAATCTGAGCCAAACAGCCTTATCTGAGCTGGAAGCAGCTGTCTTCACCTCACACCCTGTGCAGCCCTGGCCTCTGCAGGGAGGACAGCCCCTCCCTGCAGGAATAGGTGGTGTTTGTTCTCAGGGTAGCCTGGGCCTCCAAAGAGGCCTGCAGGAAATTCTTCCTCACTGGGGCAAGAGGTCCAAGGCTGGTGCAGGAGGGTGAGAAGCTCAGCTCGCTCCCTTTGCTCACCTCACAGCCACTGATTTCTTCTCTTTTCTTTTGAGATGGAGCCTGGATCTGTCACTCAGGCTGGAGTGCAGGGATGCTGTCTCAGTTCACTGCAACCTCCGCCTCCCTGGTTTAAACGACTCTCATGCCCCAGCCTCCTGAATAGCTGGGATTACAGGTGCCCACTACCATCCCCCGCTAATTTTTTTGTATTTTTAGTAGAGATGAGGTTTCTTTCCTTACTTTCCTTTTTCCCTTTCTTTCTCTTCCTTTTCTTTCTCTTTCTTTCCTTCCTTCTTTCTTCCTTTCCTTTTCCTGTTTCCCTCCCTCCCTTCCTTTTTCTTTTCTTTCTTTCTTTTTCTTTTTTCCTTTTTCTCTCTCTTTTTCTCTTTCTCTTCCTCTCTCCTTCCCTCCCTCCCTCCCTTTCTTTCTTTTCTTTCTTTCTTGATGGAGTCTGGCTCTGTCGCCCAGGCTGGAGTACAGTGGTGTAATCTCTGCTCACTGCAACCTCCGCCTCCTGGGTTCAAGTGATATTCCTGTTTCAGCCTCCTGAGTAGCTGGGACTACCGGTGCATGCCACCATACCTGGTCTTGAGCTCTCCTGATGTTATATATGGTAGTAGAGACGGGGTTTCACCATGTTGGACAAGCTGGTCTTGAGCTAATGACCTCAGATGATCCACCTGCCTTGACCTCCCAAAGTGCTGGGATTACAGGCATGAGCCGCCGCACCCGGCCATATGGTTAGAATTTTAGCAGCCCCCACAGCGCCAGGATCTGCACCTTCCAGAGACCTACTTCTGATTAGAGTGAGCCAGCACTGGGGCATGTGACATACATGTTCAAACTCATGCTCACTCAGCATCATCCACACACAGATTTAATATATGGAAGCATGTGTGCACACGTGATGCACATACAAGCATGTGGGTGGTCCACTGCACAGACACAACCTGATGTCTACAGCGACACACGTACTGCAGGCATGCATGTGTATGTGTGCACACAGACATGCTCCCCACCTGCGAGCAAGAGCAAGCACATTACAAACCCTCCTGTAAACATGGGCACTTACAAATGTGCTCACACCCCACACACAACCTATCTGTGCTGGTAAGGAGCACAGACACCTGAACCCCCAAATCTTTCCTCTACACACACACACACACACACACACACACCCAGATGCAAGCAGCATGGATGCCCAGACACATCCTCAGATACACGGGAAAGAGATGAACATCGAAAGGTACACATGTATCTGGAAGAATGTCTGTTGGGAATGAGGGACAGAGTTTAAAAGAGGGTTTGGTGGAGCACAGGTAAAGTTATCCAGGTGTCAGGAGGGTCCCAGGATCAGCCCCTGTGGCTCTGCTTCAAGCAGGCAGAGCTGTGGGACTGGGCCGAGACCCTGGGCACTGCCCTGTGACCCAGCTGGAGATAAGACTTGGAGCCACCAAGACGTGCCCACCATGGGGCCCCATCCTGCACAATCTTCGCCAAGTTTTCTACCTCCCTCTTTATCACTCTTCTTGGCTCCTGAATCCAGCAACCTGGCAGGAAAAGATAAACCTAAGCCCTGCGTTCCCACTCGTTTGGATCTTATAATGAGGCAACAGTTTCCGGGGCAGAAGCTGGATTTCAGGATTTGGGAGGAGGAGGGGGAATGGCGTGTTTGCCAGGGGTGGTGGGGTTTAGTCCCAGGGGTGCAATTCTCCTCTGAGGCGCTCTCCCTGTGGGCCCCTGCAGCTGCAGACCATGAGGAGTCAGGATGTGGCTGGATGTCACCTTCCTGATGGTGACACTGATGGCAACCCTGATGGCCAAGCTGGCTAGCTGTCCCAGCCAGCGAGACCTCCGTGGGGGTGTGGCACAGCCAAGAAGGGCCTAACCCTCCAGCCTGAGTCCTTGCTGGTGGAGGGGCTTGGAGGCATCCCAGTGAGATGTGCAGCTGCCTTTGACCCAGCTAGAAGGCTGATGCAAGCTTGTCTACAGGCTGGGGAGCCCCACAGCTCGCTGTCCCTACAAAGCACCTTCTCTGTGACCCATTTGATCTTCTTTCTTTATTTTAGTTTATTTTGAGATGGAGTCTCACTCTGTCACCCAGAATGGAGTGCAGTGGCATGATCTCGGCTCACTGCAACCTGCACCTCCCAGGTTCCAGTGATTCTCCAGCCTTGGCCTCCCGAGAAGCTTGGACTACAGGCGTGTGCCACCGCACCCAGCTAATTTTTGTATTTTTAGTTGAGATGGGGCTGCTACGTTGGCCAGGCTGGCTGACCTCAGGTGATCTGCCCACCTTGGCCTCCCAAAGGAAGGTTTCACGCCTGGGATTACTGGTATGAGCCACCTCGCCCGGCCTCTGTGACCCATTGTAATGAATGGTACCCCCATATTCCCGAGTCAGAATTTGGGAACCATCCTTGCCCTCTTCCCTTCCCTCCTTCTCCATTGTCCCCACATCCAGCTCCTATCAGTTCCACGGACTCTCCAGTAAGTCCCCTTTTCCCAGAGGACCCAGCCACCATGTTCATTGAGCCTTGACTAAAGCCAGTTGTGACTCAGGTGAGGGGAGAGCCAAATGCTGAGACAGCTCCTGCTCTCCAGGAATGGGGTCCAATGTGTGAGCACGCTTGTATGCCTGCGCACCATGCTGTGGACCTGGGGTGCAGAGGCAGAAGGAGTGAAACCAGGCAAGGGGACAGAGCCCATTCCCACCTCATGTGCGGGATTCCATGGCCCCACTCCTGTCCTTTCCCCTACTTGTGTTCTGTCAGGACCTGAGGAGTCTAGAAAGTGTGTACAGCCTTCAGGGGAGAGGCTGGGGGCAGGCAGAGAAGTGGGAGTCCTCAGCACTGAGGGGGCAAGCACCCCACAAGTGTGGGGGTGAGGCCACCCAGGGAAGGTGTGCAGATGAGACAGGGGAGGCCCAGCTCAGAGTTCTGGGACCACCTTGGTGAAGGGATGAGCAAAAGCATGGTCACTCGGGAAGGTTGCTGGGAGGAAAAGAGGAGAATTGCATGAGTGAGGAGAAAGAGGGAGGGAGCGGTCCTGGGGGTCCTGAGGGCCATGGCGGTACTGGAGGCTTCTGAGGAGCAATTTCATAGAAGTGAGGCCTCCAGCCAGTCAGGCGCTGCTCTGACCTGGTGGAACCTGACTGTTTTCCCAGGAGGTGACAGGAAATGGGGTGCCACACCCCAGGTCTGGGGCAGGGCCCTGGGTTCCAGTCCTGTCTTCGCACGCTTTGCTGTGTGGCCTTGGGCCAGTCCCTGCCCCTCTTAGGGCCTCAGTTTCCCCACCTCAGGCCCAAAGATGCTAACTTCCCTACCTTTGATTTTGGCCTGGCAGGATTTGATTTTGTGAGACATTGGTAGGGGGGCTGGAGAAAGCGTGTCCTGTCTTCTGCATCCAGCCTAGACCAGAGAAGAATAAAGCCTGGTGGGAAGCAGCCGGGGCAGAGCCAGGAGGTGGGGGGACAGGGCCAGGGGTGTGTGGGGGAAGGGCAGGCCCCCAGGTCTTGGTGGGAGGTTGGCCTCCATTTTATTTGCTCACTGACATCAGGGCTGGTGAATGTGCAGGGAGTTCAGCCAGGTTCAGGGGCCCTCACCTCCCTCATAGCCTGGTACTGGGCAGGGGTGGAGCTGTGGAGAGTCGGGAAGGGGACTGCAGGGAGGGCCCACAGGAGCCCCTGGCCTGGGAGCAGAGCTGCGGTGTGGCTCCATCTGTCACAGAGCCAGGTCAGAGGGTGGTGCTGACCCTCCGTCACCCTCCCCCTTTTCACCCCAGAATCACCCTCTTCCTCGTGCCCTTGCCTCCTCTCTCCCCTCCTAGGTGCACCTCGAGCTACTGCCTTGGGGGTCTGACTGCTAAGAAAAAGGAGCCAGAGGGGTGGTCTTGTGCCATCTGCCTTCCCAGAACCCGAAGTGAGCCCCTAGCTCTGCCCTTGACCGAGTCCCTCCTCCAGCCCCAGAAGCAGCCAGACCCCTTCCCCAGGAAGTTCCTCTTACACATTCCCATGTGGCTCAGGAGGGACCAGATAACACACGTTGGGGAGTGTGGATGCATCCCAGGTGGCCAGGCTTTGCAATCTGTCACCTCGTCCTCACTGCCAGGCTTCCCACCCATGGCCCAGCCAGCCTGTCTTCTCCTGGAGGACAGACAGAAGGCTGGGGACCAGCGTAGCCAGTCCCTCTCAAGACTTCTCCACATGGTCCTTCCTTGGATCTTACAAGGGAAGGGACTGGCTTCTGTGGCAGAGACCAGAGTTTCTGAACTCCAGGTTCTTGTGCTGAGACCTGCAGGGGCTCTGCGTGCCGTCTGTGAAGAGCAGCAGCAGCAGCGTCTCTGGAGGCTGGTAGTAGAGATTCCACCTGGAGAAAGAATTCGGGGAGCAGTTCGGTTCACGCTGTCCAGATGGCTACTTGGAATGCACACACATGCTCACACATACATGCAACATGTACGCCTTTTGGCATTTGACTTTTTCATGAAATAATTGCTGGACGGCTCCTTGGATTAGGTAACCCGGTGTTCTTTCCTGTCTGGGGCGGGGGTTGGGGGAGATAATCAGCATTTAGCATCTGTCAGGCTGTTCCAGTTCCTTTGGGGCAATGATGGCCAACCCAGGAGGGTTTGTGAGCTGCAAACACCCTTGGGAGCTGAACACAATATGAACAAGCCTGTCAGTCTTCTCCTTCCTGCAGCTCAGTTGACTGGGCCTGCCCAGTCTCTGGGCCTCTTTTAGGCAGGCCAGGCCTGGGGAAAAACAGGCCAGTTAGAAAAGGCTTTTTGTAGGCTGGGTGCAGTGGCTCACGCCTATAATCCCGACACTTTGGGAGGCCGAGGCATGTAGATCATGAGGTCAAGAGACCGAGACCTTCCTGGTCAACATGGTGAAACCCTGTCTCTACTAAAAATACAAAAATTGGCTGGGCATGGTGGCATGTGCCTGTACTCCCAGCTACTCGGGAGGCTAAGGCAGGAGAATTGCTTGAACCCAAGAGGTGGAGGTTGCAGTGAGCCGAGATCACACCATTGCACTCCTGCACTCCAGCCTGGGTAACAAGAGGGCAATTCGGTCTCCAAAAAAAAAAAAAAAAAGAAAAGGCTTTTTGTACAAAGGGGGATACGTTCCCATTTTTGTTTGAAATCAGCTTTATGATACAGTGAAAATGGAGAGCGAGCTTTGTCCATCACTGCATCCTTCTAAAGTAACCCTGTTTTCCTTCCCTTTTCTGGTGGTGGTTGGGGGTGTGTGTTTGAAAGGCGGAACTATCTGGGTTCAGGCATGAAGAGCATTGAGAAGGAATCAGGGTAGGACCCCTGGCCTACAGGTAGAGGCCAGTGACCGAGACTCTCCTTGGAGGGGGGGAATTAGTCCCGATTCCAGGGTTTGGAGATTCAGCCCTGGTGCCCCCTTCTTTCCCTGTCTGCCCTTAGCCTCTCCAGGACCCCCTAATAGAGGGCCTTTGGTGAGCCCGGAGCCTCCACCGACCACTGGTGCGAAGGGCACGAAGATCTTGCTATACAGAGTAGGACAGGGAGGGGAGCGTATACCTGCAGAGTCAAGGAGGGGACCTCATCATCTGTCTCCTCCCTGAGGTCTTACAACAGGTGCAATTTTGCAGGCGGAGGTCCTACAGGTGAGCGCGTGCCCGCTGCGCACGGAGGGCCCCGCGGGGAGGGAGGCTGCGCTGGGAGCTGCTGCTCTAGGTGCCCCCAGAAGAACCTGGGCCTTGCGGGTGAGAGCCCCGAGAGAACGCGTCAGCCCGGGTGTGCTCTCCACGGTCCACGGGGGGCCAGGACCTTCTTCAGGTGGGCCCGCCGCCCCTCCCGCAGGGCTTAGTCCGGAACCGGGGAGAGTACAGGCTGGGCTAGCTCTGCGTCCGCACAGTCCCGTGGGGCTCCAGGTCGCGGGGAGGTGTCCCGGAGTCGTCCCCGGCCCCGCCCCCGAGGCTCCGCCCCGCGCCCGCCTCCCCAGCTGCCCCTAGGGCGAAGCCAGCCGCGCACGGCCAGTCGCGGCCTGTAGCTGCGGAGCTCCGATCCTCTCCGCCCGGCCCTCTCTCACCCAGCGCACTCCTCTGGGACAGGGAGCCGGCCCCCGACGCGCAGGAGGCGCGCACTGTGCGCGAGGCGCTGGCCCGCTGGGAGGCGGCGCTGGAGGGCGCGGTGCGCGCGCAGCACGAGGACTTGCAGGGGCTGCAGCGGCGTGGAGCGGCGGGTGGCGGAGACACTGCGCCTAGCCAGTCCGCTGGCGCGCAAGGTGGCTGAGCTGCAGCGGGACAACCAGTGGCTGCGGGAGCAGCTCGAGCGCCTGACGCGCCAGGTGGAGGCGCTGGGCTTGGCCAGCGGGATGTCCCCGGCGCCCGGCACCCCGGGCACCCCCGGCACGCCCAGCCACCCCGCCCGCGCCCGGGGTCCGGGACCGCGCGCCTCTCCTGGGCAGCGCGCGCTTCGCCAGCCACACCACCTTCTCGCTGTCGGGCCGCGGCCAGGTGAGCCCAGGGGAGCTCGAGCGCTGGCGCCGGGGAGTGGGGCTCCGAACCGGCTGCCACCCCTTCCCCCGCCCCCGGCCCGCGTTTGCGCGTCTTAGGGGCTGGGGCCTATCACCGGCTGGTCGGACTAGGCGATGGGGTCCTGCCGCCCCTCTGGAGTTTAAGAAGGCAGGGGGAGGACCGCTTAGCCTGCCCACTGCACCTGTCTTGGGCCCTCGCCTTTTTTTTTTGAGCAAGGATCTGTTTGCTCAGAGTCCCGTCTCCCTCCCTCTTCTGTCCCATGACACCAAGGGCCTGGGCGCCAAGGTCAGCTCCCGACTGTTCAGCACTGCCTGGGGCCGCGCGGGGCGTGTTGGAATGGTCACTACCCCTGCCTGCCCCCCTCTCCATTCACGCGCCCCTGCATTGTCGTTTCACTGAGGCCTGGCGGCTTTGGTTATTAATTAACCCAGATTGAGAAGTCAGGCCCCTGGATGGGTGGGGAGGGGGGCCGAGGGGCAGCGGCATTCCCAAACAGCAGCAGCGTTTGGGAACTCTGCATCGCGGGGTGGGGGTTGGGGGGTGAAAAATCCCTTACTGTGAAGGGAGAGAGGTGGGAACCAGCCTCCAGCAAGAATCGTCTAGATTCCTGGCGTCAGTGACTGGCCAGAGCCCCACACCCTGTGGGGATGGGGCAGAGGCCGACGGAGACGTTGCTACTTTCCACATGGGCTTCCCAGGGTGGTTAGAATGTTTCCAGTGTTTCCATGGCGTGTGCAGTGACCCTTGGGTGGTATTTTCCATCCTGGTCAGGCATGTGCTCTGGGGTTGGGTTCCCAGGGCCTGTGGCTGTGTAACCTGCACATGCTCCCGCCTTGGTCCGATCCATGAGGTAGTCAGATTTCCTGCTGTGGGCTGGGCTGGACCTCAGGGGGCCTGGAGGTGGGTATCAGATTGGGCCTTTCCCCGGAGGTCCCAGCCAGGGTGGGAGATGGCCCCAGACCAAGGTTGGGCAGCCGGAGGTAGTTCATCCCTTCTCAGTGGGTTTCCCAGCAAGGCTTTGTGCTGGGGGCCCCGGAGTTGCTGCCGCTGCTGCAGATGGGAGTGGGGTGGTGCATTAAGCCTCAGAAACACTGAAAGGACTCACTGGCGACAGTGCCACCTCGAAGCATGTGAGTGGGGTGGGGAGTGGCGAATGCTGTGGTGCACGGGGCAGAGGCGCTGGTCTTTGTCCAGAACCAATGAGAGGTTCTGATTCATGTCCTGGGGGCAGAGCCTGTGGGTGTCCCAGCGCTCCGTGTGGAGCGTCTGGAAATGTGGATACACTTAGGTCTGGCTTCTGAACATGACACTTTACATGGGTGCACACACACACACACACACACACACACACACGGGGGAGGATTCTCTCCAGTTGTGACTTTTGTTGATGGAAATTAGCCATTATTCACTGGCACCAGGCTGGTCCTCTGGCTTAGGGGTTGGTGCGTGAGGCTCAGAATGAGGGTCTTTGTGTCTGGCAAGCTCTCTTGGGGGTGGATGGAAGGTAGACGGTGGCTGGAGATGGGTAACTTAATTGTGACGGTCCACAGAGAAAGGAAGGGTCTGAGCTGGGGCATGGGCCATGGTGTGTAGAGGAGGTGCCTTGGGCAGGGACTTCAAAGGGGAGTGAGCAGATGGGGTAGTCTCAGAGGGGAGCCCTGGCTTGGGAGACTGCTGAGCCACAGATCTGGGTGGAGATGCTGGGTGGCAGTGCTGATTATGAGGGTCTATGGGAAACCAGGTGAAGCTGTCTCAGAGCAGTTGGATGCTGGATCTGGTACTCCAGAGAGCGGGCAAGGCTGGAGATGCGGAAGCTCTCTGGGCTGAGGCAGAAGAGTTCTAAGGAAATAAAAAATAGCCTGGGGAACTTCCAGGGAGTGAGGCGGGCCTGAGAGCTCATTCTTAGCAAACCAGAGAGGGAGCCCTCCCGAAAGAAGAGGCTGGGGTCAGTGGGGATGCGACAGCCCACTGGGGAGCAAGGTTGGAGACCCAGGCACGCAGGGGATGCATCTGCCTTTTGGGGGCTGAGGATAGAGACCCAGGCACCCAGGGGATACATCAACCTTTTGGGGGATGAGGATGGAGATCCAGGCAGCGAGGGGCGTGAGCAGCAAGCATAGGTGAGCTCTGTGGGGGGAGCATGGCTACAGTCCCCAGTTGGGTTAGAAGCCCCACACCCCTTGAACCCTGGCTCCCTGGGCCTGAGGCAGCTTCCACAGGGCTGATCTCACAAGCACCAATCCCCACCTCTCTTGCTGTCCTCCACCTCGGGAGCATTGACATTGCCACCAGGCCAGTGTCTGGCCCAAGAGGAGGGACCGTGTGGAGCCATCCACATGCTGGGGCTGACGTGCCATGACCAGCACCGTGTGATCAAGAGCTTGGTCACAAACAAGGAGCCAGGGCGCAGGGTGAGACTGTAGTGTGGGCTGTGGACAGAGAACCACAGCTGAACGCCGGGTGAGACTTGAGTGTCGGCCGTAGACAGAGAGTCACAGCTGAACACCAGGCGGCTGGGCAGCTGACCTCTCAGACTGTTGGGTAGTGGGGGTCTTGGTGGGACAGTCTCACTCCACCCACACGAGCCAGGGGTGACTGTACTACCTGGCATTGTACAGGCCGGTGTCACGCTGACCCTCTGTAACACGCCACAACACTTAGAGACCTGTTTGCTTTCAAACTGGGGACTGAGGGATTGGCGGTAGAGTGTCTCCAGTATACAAATGTGCCCTGGACTCAGCGCAGGAAGGGCTGATCAAGCAATCCTGTCTGGCTGGGAGCAGGGAGCTGGGAGCCAGCTGGGGGCCTGGGGTGGATGGTGGCAGCCTGAGGCCAGGCCCAGGCCCCAGCAGGCTGGGCCAGAGCTGCAACCTGGAAATGTCATCCTCAACTGAGCTGGAGCCACTGAGTTCCCATGGCGGAGGCCAAGGAGGCTGCAGGAGCAGCCACCAGGAGCCTCATGTCAGAGGCCCAACTGTGAAAGAAACCAGACTCGCCTTATCTGCCTTCCTTTCCCAGACACACTCTGATAAGAGAGAGAGTTAAATACTTTAGGGAGAAGTTTGAATCGAGTCCTTTCAAACGGTGGTGTCCGTGGAGAAGGCCAGGTCAGCGTGTGAATCATCTTAGGATGGGGCTCTGGCCCTGCATGGGCTTTGTCCCCACGGATGGGTCCAAGCAGTTCAGGCAGCACCCAGAAGGCCTAAAATATTCATCCTCCCTCACAAAAATGTCTAAAAGCCTTTCCAATATGAAGGCCCCTGAGATCAGACTTATTACTCCAGGCCTGGGCTCTCTCATGGGGCACCCCCCCCTTCTCGAACAAAGCTGATGTGGGGACTCTTGGGGGGTACCAGGCCAGCTCGACAGGACCTGTCCCCAGTGCCAGAGCTCTCCAGCAATTTCTGCCCAGTCCCAGATCAGAGGTGCCTCCCTGGTTTCCTTCCCAATGACCAAGGCAGCTGCCCTGAACAGAGGACCGAAGTAGCCTACTGAGGGGTCTGCGGGGACAGTCTAGCCCAGCCCTCTGGTTGAAGAGCACGTTCTGTGAAGGTACCGCTGGGTGTTGGCCCCAGTTCCACCCCTTTTCCTCACTCTCGTCTAAGACAGAGCCCATGGGCCAGGGCACACACTAACCCAGGCCCTGGGAGACAAGTGGACTGAGTTTTCCTCTCTTTCCCCAGAAGGCCAGAGCCCTGGCTTGGGGTAGGAGACCCAAGTACCATACGTTGACTCTGCCACTGCCTCTCCCCATCTGTATGATGATGGGTTGGAGGGTGGTCTCAGAATAGCCCCTTGCTCCTTGACCCAAGGCTTGGGAAGAGCCCTTTCCCCAGGTGAGGAATGATTCTAGTCCTGGGGCAGGGGAGCTTGGGAGTCTGGGCTCAGCCCCACACCCCAGCCCGCATTAGCCCAGCTTCTTCCCCTCCTCCTTAGCAGGGATCTAGCTGAAAGAACTGACTTCCAGGTCTGGTATAGCACCTGGTCCCCTGGGGCACCATGGGGGTTGTTGAGGGGACTGCAACATGCAGGGACAGGCATCTGTAGGGGAGCCGCCTCCCCACCCATCCGTAGAGACACACATTTCCTGGGAAAATAGTTTCACCCTCAACCTTTTCTCCCAGGGCCCTGCCTGGGCCTGTGGAACTGTCAGACAAGAGCTGGGGCATTGCGGGAGGCATGAAGACCCCAGAGCCAGAGCCCTGGTGACAGTGGGGACCAGGGTTCCAGCTGGACTGGCTGGTTCTCCTCCCCCTGCCGACATGGCTGCCATGGCCGACATGGCTGGAGGGGTGCCCATTCTGCTGTGCATGCCTTGAGACGCTGAGTGCTTCTCCTGTGTTCCTGAGAAAGGGCCTGTCCTCTCCTTCTCCCACTCCTGAATCAAGAGCTGAGGGGTCACCTCCTCTCCAAGGTTGGCTCTCCTCAGGCTCTGGGTTTTGTCCACTCTGAGCTCCCCAGGGTCCCCATCCTGCAGAGGTCCCCTCACCTTTCTTAGCCTATAAATGTAATCTTGCCTCTTCCCTCTGGAAAAACCCCTCATCCTATTCCCCTGGCTGCACTCAGGGCTAAAGTTACTGTACTGCCTTCATTTCCCTGGGACTTCTCCCCTGGGCCTCTCCTGTCCCCGCCGTCCCTTGTCCCATGCTTCTAAGCACCCGTGGCCTCTTCTTTTGCTGAACCCAATGGACACCTGATTGCATTTTCTCTTTACCTTTTCTTCCACCCCAGGCTGCCTTTGGATGAAACTGGCTTTTTTTTCCCTTTTGTTTTGAGACAGAGTCTCACTCTGTTGTCCAGGCTGGAGTGCAGTGGTGCAATCTCCGCTCACGGCAACCTCCATCTTTTGGGTTTAAGCGGTTCTCCTCCCTCAGTCTCCCAAGTAGCTGGGATTACAGGAATGTGCCACCACGCCTGACTAATTTTCATATTTTTAGTAGAGAGGGGGTTTCACCATGTTCACCAGGCTGGCCTTGAACTTCTGACCTCAAGTGATCCAACCACCTCAGCCTCCCAAAGTGCTAGGATTATAGGCGTGAGCCACTCCCAGCCCCGTGCCTGGCTTCTGGATTCACTTCCTTCCTGGCCTTGGCTTTCTCACTGTTCTTCAAGGGCTCCTCCTATCTCTCCGGCTGCTCCTCATTCTCTGCTGACTGCTCTTTTGCTTCCTGAAATGTGGGGACCTTATCCCAGGAGCCCCAAGCTGCTCTTCCTCTGGTGAACTTCCAAGAGCCCAATGCATGCCCTGATTCCTGTTTTTCAACATGCTCATCCTTCTTTCCTCTCTCTCTCACTCTCGCTCTTTTTTTTTTTTTTTTGGCAGAGTCTTGCTCTGTCACCCCAGGCTAGAGTGCAGTGGTGCGATCTCAGCTCACTGCACCCTCCACCTTCCAGGTTCAAGTGATTCTCCTGACTCAATCTCCCAAGAAGGTGGGATTACAGATGCCCACCAGTATGCCCAGCTAATTTTTGTATTTTTAGTAGAGATGGGTTTTCACCATGTTGGCCAGGCTGGTCTCGAACTCCTGACCTCATGATCCGCCCCCCCCCCCCTCGGCCTCCCAAACTGCTGGGATTACAGGTGTGAGCCACTGTGCCCGGCCTCATACTTCTTTTCTCTTAAACTCCAGACTAAAAAATTCAGCTACCCCCTCAGTTGCCTGATGTCCCAGGTGCCCCATGCCCTCATCATGCCCCAAATAAAATCCCCATTTTCCCCCTAAACCTGCCCTGCCCTACCAAGCCTGGGCTTGGAAGAGGCTTGGCACCCTTCCTCTTCCACATCATTCAGTCTCCCAGCCCATCCCTTTTCCCCAAAGCTCCCAGTTCTTCTTGCCTGTGGTCCTCCCAGTGGCCCATCTCCCCTCCCCAGTTCCTGCCCAGGACTAGAGAAGTGTCTTGTTATCTGGTCTGCTCCACTGTGCCCCTCTCTGACATCTTCTGGAGGGTGATCCTGAAACACAGAGCTGAGGACCTTGGGTTCCTTCTTGTCTAAGGTGTCAAGGACACTGGGCAGGCAGCCTGGGTGCACTGCTCCATTTGCCTGAGTCCCGGGTGGGCATGGTCAGGATACCTGTGCCTTGATGTCTCTGCAGAAGCAGATGCTGACCACTCTGCCAGGCGTGCCCTCCCTTGCTCATCCCCCGGGCTCACTCTGGATGTGGCTCAGGCACCCCTGGCTCTGAGAGGCCCTCCTTGCCCTGATGGGTTGGATGGAGACTGTACGAGGCATCCTCATGCTGACACAGCCCCCTCTGTTCATGAGCCTGGCTCCCCTATCAGACAGATTCCCCATGGCAGGGTGCATGCCTCCTGCCCTGGCTGTGGGAGGAGCTGAGCCCTCTGGGCCAGGGCTGCATCACCATTTGCCTAGGAACCCTGTAGACCAGGGCATCTACAAGACGCACAGCTGACCTCTCAAGCTGCTCATCCTGGGCTCTCGGTGGAGCCCCTACCAGCCCTACGGATGCCTTTACTGGGCGCAGGGGAGCAGGATCACAGTTGAGAACTTCTTCCCTGCCACAAGTCCCAGCTGGTTTCTGCCATATAGCCTTGGGCAGGGCAACATGCCCTCTTGGAGCCCTCGGGTCCCATCTGTCAAATGGCTCTGGCAGCATCTACTGTGAGGACAGAAGCTGGCTGGCATAAGGGGTGTGCCTGGAAGAAGGGCTGGATGTTGGGTGGATGCTGAGTGCCGCTTGCCTAGTCTGCTCCCATTTCTCAAATGGGGAAACTGAGACCTTGAGGGGAAGTAATGTGGCCCAGGTCAGCAAGGCCTGGATCCCAGGTTCCCCACTGGCTCCTGGTCTAGGCTGTCTGTCTGCCCTCACCTGCCCCACCCACTCCTGCCACCCAGCCGGGATGGATGAGTTGCCTGCAGCTGACCAGGCTCCTAATGGCCAGGTAAATCGTGTCCCGGCCACCCATGCACGGGCCTCAGCATGATCGGGGCGCTGTTGCTCATTGTTGGCACAGAAGGACCTGGTGTCACTGGTTCCTGCTGCCCCTGCAAGGATAGCCATGCCAGCCTGGCCCAGGTGAGAGGGGCAGGGGGCCAGGCACTCCTGACTGTCATGTGATCCAGCCTGGGGGAAAGGATGAGGTGGCCTCACCTACTTTGGAACCCTCAATCTTGATGTCTGTCCTCAGCTTTTTGGGACTCTGGGAGGAGCCCAGTAGAGGTATTTGCCTCCCAGGATCTTTCCAGAACCAGGAGGGGGTTTGGGGCGGGCAGCTTCTGGGGGTGGGCAGCTTCCCCTGGCTGATGGGCTCTCGGTGCCATTTATATCTCTGCAAAGTCTGGATCATGATGAGGCCAGTGAGTCAGGGATGAAAAAGGCCTTAAACTCCTGCATCATGGAAAATGGGCACCAGCTGGGGGCAGGTAGGGCTGAGGGCAGTGGAAGGGTGGTTGGGTAGGTTTGGGGGTTTAGTAAGGCCTTGGTCAAGTATCTGTGCCAGGCCAGCCCTTGACCTGGGGAGGGGGGACTCTAACCTGAACCCCAGCGGGCAGAGAGGCTGCCAGGAGAGCAGCATCATTCAGTAGAACTTTTGAAACACAGAGGAAAGAAAGTCGGGAGATCTCAGGTGGTAGTGAGCTATCCCATTTCTAGAGGAAAGCAAGTAGAGACTGAGGAATTTTCCTAAGCACTGAATAGGGTGGAGAGTGGGCTGATGAGCCAACTAGTGTTTATGAAGCTGGCCATGAAGGGAAGCTGGGAAAATCAGCTCTGGTTGGAGCAGCAGGATATCCCTGGTAGGAGGTCAGGGAGGCTGGAGCAGTTAGGGAGGCCTTCCTGGAGGAGGTTGGAGGAAGGTTCAGGGAGGCTAGAGCCCTTCTGGGAGGTCTCAGGCCCCTGTGGCTGCCACAACTGACCACCCACCCTTGCTGGTCACATGTTACAGGTCCAGGTGATGGTCCCCCTGAGGTTTCCCAAACCTTCCAGGCACCAGATCCCCCCAGGCCTCGCCCCATGAGTCTCTCCTTGCAGCTGCCCCACCAGCCAGTCATGGCTGTCACCCGAGTCTCTGACAGGTTCTCTGGGGAGACCTCAGCTGCGGCTCTATCACCATCTGCTGCCACCCTGGGGGGCCTCAACCTGAGCCCCAGCGAGGCCACCACGCCCTGGACTCCCAGTCCTAGTGGTAGGAGCAGGACAGTGTGGCCTTGGATGGACCTCCCCTTGGGATGGGAGTGGGAGGGTCGGGGCTGGGGAGGGGGAGTCGGTGGGTGACTTGGAAAATGAGCCACCAAGCCGAGCCCAGCCCTGCCTCTGCCTGCCATGTCTTCCCCTTCCCTTAGCGCATCCTCCTGGGCTTCTGCCCAGAGATGCTGAGAAATAGCATCATCTCCTGGTGAGGTGACTGTGGCTTTTATTACAGGTCAAGGCCACAGTTGAAAGGTGGCTCTTGCCCTGCACGTTGGCACTTTCTCTCCCTCAAGGCCTCAGGCCTGATGTGGCCTGTAGTCAGGCCTCTGTGCTGTGTGTTCTGGTGGAGGTGGCATGGGCCTCTGTGGGACGGGTTTCAGAGCAGTGTTTGTGAAATACATGGCACGGGCCCTGAGCTCTCTGCGCTCTCAGGAGCAGGGTGGGGACAGCTGAAAAGAACTCTTTGATTCTGTTGCTGTGAGTGTCCATCTTCCTTTCTCTGCCACTGTCACTGAGGCAGGGTTGGCTTAGCCCAGAGGGTTCATTCATCCACGCAGTGATGCCAGGTCAAAGGAAGGGAGGCTGTGGCGGCCCTCCCTGGGCAGGGTTGTGTCACTTCTCTCCCTCTCTCTGTTTCACAGAGAAGAGTTCCTCTTTCACAAGGTCTATGTCAAGCTCTGGCCATGGGGCAGTGACAGCCAGCAAACACAGCAGCAGGTGGATCAGGGCCCGTGTTCCTGCATGGTTGCCATAGTCCAGATGTGTTCTTGGCTTTGGACGCAGGCCATCCAGGGGTTGGTGTCTCCATGGAAGGCTCGGGGCTGGATCTCTAAAGCACTGGGTGGCAGGGTTGGGGGAAGGTGTGAGCAGGGAGTGGGGCAGTGGGGCTGAGTGGAGAAATGTGGCCACAGGCTGGTTTCTTTGTTGACCCTTCAAGTCAGTCAAAAGATTGGAAGAGGAGCCAGGCACCCTGTTGCACCCCTGGAATCCCAGCACTGTGGGAGGCCAAGGCTCAGGATCACCTGAGGTCAGGAGTTCAAGACCAGCCTGGCCAAAATGGTGAAACCGGTCTCTGTAAAAATACAAAAATTAGCAGGGCATGGTGGTGGATGCCTCTAATCCCGGCTACTCGGGAGGCTGAGGTGGGAGAATCACTTGAAACCAGGAGGCGGAGGTTGCAGTGAGCCAAGATCGTGCCATTGCACTCCAGCCTGGGCAATAAGAGTCAAATTCCATCTCAAATAAATAAATGAATACAAAAATTAGCCAGCTGTGGTGATGGGCACCTGTAATCCCAGCCACTTGGGAGGCTGAGGCAGGAGAATTGCTTGAACCTGGGAGGCGGAGGTTGCAGAGAGCCGAGATGGTGCCACTGCACTCCAGCCTCGGTGACAGAGTGAGACTGTCTCAAAAAAAAAAAAAAATTGGAGGAGGAGGTGTCTCAGCCGGCAAGAAGGGGAAGACAGGAGCGTGGTCTTCTTCCATCCCAGCCCGCTGGGGCCCCTCAGAGCCGGGAACTTCCTGCCCATGGGCTGTGGGCAGGGGCAGGTGAGCCAGGCCTTCCCTGTGGCACAGGCTTCCCCCTCGGGCCAGTGGGACTGTAATTGGTGGGGGTGGGGTAGCAGGCTTGGCTTTTTTTTTTTTTTAATAATTAAAGGATAATTATGACTTCCTTGCAAACAGTTTCAGAGGAAACAGAGGGGTCTTATCTCATGGTGGAGGCAGGAGGCCTGGCCCCACTGGGCTGGTTCTGGGTGCGTCTCCTGCCCGAGGAGGGGGTCCCCTGTCCTCCCCAGGCACTGACATCTGCCAGGGGGTGGTGATGTCCAGAGAGGGGCCTGGCATCCCTCCTGAGTTGGGTCTATGGGCCAGGCCTGTGCCAGGCAGCACAGTTCAGAAAACCTGCCAAACTGGTGGGGGTCCCCAGCAAGGGGGCTCCTCGGCTCCTCTCTGAGCACCCATCACGGTGCAGCTGCCTTGTCACACTCAGTGGGATGGAGACCCCAGGGCCTGCTGAGCTAGTGACGGCTGCTGGGCCCACGTCCCAACTCAGCGATTCCCTCCTCAGCCCACCGCTGGTGACACCACCCCGGTCGCCCATATCCCGGCAGCTGCCAGCCACAACTCAAGTCCATCAGCCAGGGGAGCATCACAGGAAGCTGGTGAGGTAGCAGATGCTGCCCCACACCTCGGGGGCGCAGGCCCGGAAGGCATTGTTTGAGAAGTGGGAGCAGAAGATGGTAGGCAAGTACGGATGCCCACTCACAGAAGGGGGGAGGGGAAGTACGGATGCCCACTCACAGATGGGGGAGGGGCAGTATGAATGCCCACTCACAGACAGGAGGGGCAGTATGGATGGCCACTCAAGACAGGGGGGTGAAGTACGGATGCCTACTCACAGATGGGGGTGCTCCCCCAGTGTGCCCACACTGAGGCAGGGGCTGGTGGGCACTGAAGAGCCAGGTTCAGCCCTGTCCTGTTCCCCAAGACAAGATTTCGGGCAAGGCACAAAGTTAGGGCTGGGCCACAGGGCATATTGGGGGAACGGGGGCTCCAGTTATTGGGGGAAGAGGGCTGTAAGGCATGGGATGGGGCCTGGTGAGGGCCCCTCTTTCCTCCACCATTCTCGAGGCCCCTGGTCTGTCCCCAGTGCCCCCAGGCTGCCCTCACACCCATGTTCCCCACGGGTTGTGGCTCCTTTAGTTTATGGGCACGACTCGGGACTGGACAGGGACTGAGATTCCTGGTGGGAGCTGGGAGGCCCAGCGTGGGGTTGGCCTTGCCCCAGGACTGCAGAGGTGGTGCCCTGGGACCAAATGCCCTGCAGCCCACTACCAGGCCTCGAGGCTTCCTGGGCTCCAGCCGCTTCTGCATATTCAGCCCATCTTCACATCAGTTCCTGGTATTGATGCCAGCTCTGTGCAGGGTGTGGCTCAGACCTTGTGGGATGATAATGAAGACGACAGCCAGTCCCTGCTCAACTCTAGTGAGGGAGGCCAACTCAGGATGTGTCCCCACTCACCCCAAACAACCTGGTCCTGACCATTATGGACTGTCCTTGGGGCCCAGAAGAGGAAATCATCCCTCCTGGCTTGGAAGGAGCCATCAGGGAAGGAGGCCCTCCATTAGGAGGGGAGCTCAGAAGGAGGCGGGGGAGGAAGGAACAGGGAAAGGAGTTCCAGGCAGAAAGCAGGTCCTGGGGCTGTGTGGATGAACCAGGGTCTTCTGTCTCAGGATTCCCAAGGGACCCCTGCTTACTGGGGTGGGAAGTAGACTGGGGACACGGAGGGCGGTTCGGGTGAGGATGGTCCTGCTGTATACCATCAAAGGAGGCTAAGTGGCTGGTGTATGGGGCAGTGCCACGGACATGGGCACAGCTGAGCCTGCGTGCTGCCAGGATCTCTCCTGGGTGAGCAGAGGGAGCAGGAGCCTCCTCCCTGGGGTGGGAATTAGATTAGACAGGGGACCTGGAGGGTGGTTCGGGTAGGATGGTCCTGCTGTATACCATCAAAGGAGGCTGAGTGGCTGGTGTATGGGGCAGTGCCACAGACATGGGCACAGCTGTGCCTGTGTGCTGCCAGCATCTCTCCTGGGTGAGCAGAGGGAGCAGGGGCCTCCTCCCTGGGGGTGCAGGGATGGCCTCTCCTATCCCAGACCCACAGTGGGAGATGGGGTTGAGGCCCCCACAGCAGGTCTGCGCTCTCTCTGCAGGGGGAAAGGCAAGACCCAGACCTGGCTGAAGCAATCGCAGAGCTTCAGCGTAGCCAGCACCAGTGGCGTCAAGCAGATCCTGCTCGAGTGGTGCCACAGCAAGATGCTGGGCTACCAAGTGAGCCAGGCTCCCTTCCAGCTGCTGGGACACCCCCCCGAAAGGCCTGACCAGCCATTGTCCCTGTCTTTGTTCTCCGACCTGGGCAGGAGCCTGCTGAGGCTGGGGTTAAGGGATGGCAGCCACAGTGCCTTCCCAGTGGGCACCTGACTGCCCGAAGCATGTGCTGAGAAACTCCAGGCATCTGCATCTGGACCCCGCACTGACTGCACTCCCCTCCTATAGCACGTGGACCTGCAGAACTTCTCCAGCTGGAGTGACGGCACAGCCTTCTGCGCCCTGGTGCACACCTTCTTTCCTGATGCCTTTGACTACAACTCCCTGAGCCCCACGCAGTGGCAGAAGAACTTCAAGCTGGCCTTCACCATGGCTGAGTGAGTGTGGTGGCTCCTGCTGGCTGCCAGCCCCAGCCCAGTCCTGAGGCCAACTGTTTCCCCAGATGGGGCATGGGACGAGTGGAACATGGTGCAGCTGTCTACAAAGCTGAAGGACCCCAGGGCCATGTGGTCTGTTTACCTCTTGAGCAGATGGGAAGACTGAGGCCTGGAGAGGGATGTTCTGAGTCACACAGCACTTGGTAGGTGGGGGGACTCTGTTCCTGGGATACCTGCCTTCTTTGCCGGGTGCCCAGCTTCTGGGGTGTCCTCTGGGAGACCAGTCACAGACCAGACATGAAGGGCAGCCAGACAGCGTCCCCCAGAGCTCTGAATCTGTCCTCTCTGGACTGATGGGGAGATGCTGTTGCTTGCCTGACCCACAGCGGCCAGTTAGCAAGAAACTGATTACTCTCTGGGCCACTTAAAAGGAGATTTTTAATTAGCCAGGCATGGCAGTGTGTGCCTATAGTCCCAGCTACTCAGGAGGCTGAGGCAGGAGAATTGCTTGAACCCGGGAGGTGGAGGTTAAAGCGAGCTGAGATCAAGCCACTGTACTCCAGCCTGGGTGACAGTGAAACTCTGTCTAAAAAACAAAAAGCTGATTTTGCTTCCAATCACATTTTCCTTCCCTAAATCGTATTCTGGCATTGATTGTGAAATTGCCTTGCCGCTTAGGTCCCACTCCTGGGGTGAGGATGGGGATGACTCTGGGCTCAGGAGGCACCTGGAAAGCGAGTTTGGGATTTGGTTATTGACTGAAGTGAAGTCCTCAGGAGAGGTGGCAAAGTCAGGTCCGTCTGCTGGGGCTCCAGTGCGGCACAGGGGCACAGTCAAAAACTGGCCGAGGAGAGTTTCATACAAGGACTCTTGACAGAAGCGTGGGCAGGATGAGGTAGAGGGCCAGGCCCTGAGCAGCAGCCTCGGAAGAACAGCAGTGCATGGTCAGCAGCCCATGGCCTGGGTGGAGAGGATGGTCTGATGAGGGCCATGCTCAGGCAAATGGCTGTAGTCAGCTCTCTGTGACCTGGGAGGGAGGCAGCTACAGGGTGAGTGCCCAACCTCACTCCCCTCCTGCCTCACACCAGGGCCTCTTGGGGACTGAACCCAATAAGAAGACAAAGGACCAGGAGCGGTGGCTGTGGTTCATCCAGGCCCTCAGGGCAGGGAGCAGGGCACAGATGAGTGGTGTTTGGGGCTGCCCGACGCTAAGCTCTCTGAAGCTCAGAGAGAAGTAAGGCCATCCCCAAAGCCGAGCATTCTGGAGGGCGCATTTGCCATTCTCTCCCTGCCTTTGTGTCTGCTGGCATCAGCCTCTGACATCGATCTGCAACTGACCATGTCTGTTTCTGGTCTGGGTTCTCAGTGCCCACATTTAAGAGCGGTCCTCACCGAACAGGGTGCAGTGGCTCATGTCTGTAATCCTTGGAAGGCTGAGGCAGGTGGATCACCTGAGGTCGGGAGTTCAAGACCAGCCTGTCCAACACGGAGAAACCCCATCTTTACTAAAAATACAAAATTAGCTGGGCATGGTGGCACCTGCCTGTGATCCCAGCTACCTAAGAGGCTGAGAGAGGAGAACCGCTTGAGCCCAGGAGGCAGAGCTTGCGTTGAGCCGAGATCACACCATTGCACTCTAGCCTGGGCAACAAGAGTGAAACTCCATCTGGAAAAAAAAAAAAGAGTGGTCCTCATGGGCTTGTTGGGTTGAAGGAGCCTCACCCCAGGCCTCACCTGCCTTCCCTGCTCCTTTCCTGGCCCAATCATCAGTCCTTGGCCCTGGCCCCCCTCCCTGGACACTGAGCCTGGCCAGGGAAGGAACCAAAGCCAGGGTGTCTTGTGACCCACATGTGGTATTGTAAGTCTCGCTTTGACCTGAGACAGCCGCCCCTCTCTGGGGCAGCCACTCTCACTCTGGGGGCAGAATTGAGACACTGGCTCTGAGCTCCTCATTTTTGGAATCTTGGTATCAGCCCTTGGGTTGCCTTGGATGACGTGCTTGGAGTCAGCCCCCTGGGGTCACAAGAACTCCTTGTATATTTGAAAAGCCTTTCTGTCTTGGCTGCTTGGGGTCAGCTGTCATCCTAATTGCAGAAACAGCTCTGGCTAAGCGTGTTGTGCAACTGGATCCAGACGATGGGGAGGTAGAGCCAAGGGGAGTGTGTGGTGTGGGGAGCAGGCAGCTCCCAAGGATGGGGCCCAGCTGCCGAAGCCCAGATTGGGCACCCGTCAACAACCAGACTGTCAGAGTATGCAGGGTCAGGGCCTTGTGGCATGCACACCACCAGCACCCACCCCAGCAGAGAGGCCACACTGTCTTTCAGGGTTCTTTGTTCATTGTCTAAGTCCAGTGTGGTGCCTGCTTATGTCCTGGCCACCTCAGTCACCCTCCACCCTGGACCAGGCTAGGCTGTGGCACGGAGAGAGAGGATGCCACAGGCCATGGGGTGGTGGTCCCGTGCCCCAGCCTGAAGGGAACACAGCTCCCCTTGGCAGCCAGAGCCAGAGCGACTCCAGGTGGTGCTTCCCCAGCACAAGGTTTGGGTCCAGGGAGCCTCTACACTCCAAACAGATGTTTCTGCTATTCCCAGCTTGGTGGGGTGAGGAGCAGGTGGCAGCGAGGGTGGTCCAGGTTTTGCCTGCTGCCTTCCCGGAGCACACAGCATGGTAAAATTGCTGGCCTGGCCTCCCTGTGGCCTGAGCCTGCTCCAGCTGTGGAGGGGGGCAGGGAGGATGGGTCTGCTGAAGTTGCTGAGATGGGTTCTTGCTTTTCTGCTGAGCTGAGGGTCTGGGAGGGAAGAGGCGACCACTGCAGGACTGTGCCAGGGTTAGGGGTGGGAGTTTGCTCAGAGCCTGGGAAGGTGCCTCCCCTCATGACTCATCACAAGATTATCTCCCGGGTACTGGGGGAGAGGGCTGGGAAGACTGACTCCCCTGCCTGGGGCCTCCTGGGGGGACGGCAGCTTGGATCACCTCCTTTCCTAGACAATAGGCTGCTTAGAAGAGCTGCTGAGAAAGGGCAGGGACACCTGCCTGAGGATGTCATGTCCTCACCCATATTTCTGAGGTTTGCAGCAAAGGCTGAGCAGACATGTGCTGTTGAAAGCCACCCAGGGTGTGCTGGCAGCAGGACCACAGGGCCGAGAAGGGACCAAGGTGCCTCCCCTCATGACTCATCACAAGATTATCTCCCGGTACTGGGGGAGAGGGCTGGGAAGACTGACTCCCCTGCCTGGGGCCTCCTGGGGGGACGGCAGCTTGGATCACCTCCTTTCCTAGACAATAGGCTGCTTAGAAGAGCTGCTGAGAAAGGGCAGGGACACCTGCCTGAGGATGTCATGTCCTCACCCATATTTCTGAGGTTTGCAGCAAAGGCTGAGCAGACATGTGCTGTTGAAAGCCACCCAGGGTGTGCTGGCAGCAGGACCACAGGGCCGAGAAGGGACCACAGGCCC